CACTGTAACAATCATTAAAACTTTTTTGGGGAGATTGTATTCTAATAGTCTTTTATAGTCAGATAACGTAATGATCCACTGAATCACATGTTTTACTTAAATAAGTGGTGTAATGTGTTTTGAGGCCATAACATTAAATGACAACAGGATTGTACGGTTGTGAATGCGTAATAAGTTAGTTACGATTTAGTTAAAACAATATCTGTTGATAGTCATTTTTTGTGTGTGTTTTGGACTGAGATAAATCACGGGTCAAAATGTACCCGCGAGCAGCTTTGAACACACACGAGGGTTAAGTGCATCGACAGGAGAGGACCCTTTACGTTACATGGGAAACAATATATACACCAATAAATAAGTATAATGTTAAAAATCCATAAATAAAATATTAATTAAACCAAAAATGTAATTAATAAGAATAAGAATAATAATACATGAGACTTGAATAGCGCTTTTCAGGAAACTCAAAGACGCTTTGACAGAGAATTAAAAAAACAAAGAAAAATCCAAAGAGAGATAAACAAAACCGAAATGAAAATGAATAGATGTAAACATTTGATGAGGCTAGCCAAGAGAAGAGAGAAACTCTCTGGAGGCAACACGCGGGGATTTGAGCCTTGCAGACCGTTGCACTGAAACAGAGCGGAAAGCAGAGGGCCTCTTTAAGTTCGATTGAACTTGAACTTGTATTTCTCCACTTTGTTATCTCTTCATACTGCAGTGCTTCTTGCTCCTGTGCAGAGACGGGTTTTTATTTAGTTTTCCTGCTGAATAGGTGTGGATGGAGATGGAGGGAGGAGACGCTTCCTCTCACCAAACTCTCTGGTGTTTTGGAGGAAAAGTTGTGCGTCACCTCCTTCCTCTCCTTCTCCTTCTCCTCTACACAACTTCCTTCTTATTCCAACCCTCAGAAACACTTTGGCCAGCGAGTAGAGATGTGGATATTTCAGTAGAACTTGTCAAAAGTGAGTCCAATATTTCCAGCTTCTATTTACGAGACGTTTAGTTTGAGCATTTACTGCTGAGATGACACATCAAACGATTGATTTTAAATGTGTATTTAGGGTTAATTAAGTATGTTACTTTTGAATTATTCTTCTGGGTGTAATAGTGGTGTTACATGTGGGTCATTTGAGCGTAATGATAGTGTAACATGGTTGTATTAATGTGTAATATTGCTTTAAAAACGGTGTAATAGGGCCGTAATGTTTTTGCAAACGCTTTCGTTTTTCTTTGTTCGTTTGTTGTTGTGTTTCCGGCTCTCTTTCCAGGGGTTCAGAAAGTCCAGAACACCTGTTGGTTTATTTCCTGATCCGATGGTTTCCCCCGCTCTGCGTTCAGCTTGTTTTTACTCTGCGTTAACGTTGTGTTTGTTCATGGTGGAGCTGAAGGAGCAGCTTCACTCACTCATACGTTTCACACGTCACTAAAGTACACACTGCAGGTATTTGTACGTCAGGTTTCTATTTGATACTACTTCAGTTAGCTTTAGTCACTTTCAGATTACAGTTTTCATCCCCATGTATCCAAACGGGGATCTAAAGGGACACACCAAGCTGAGACCAAAGAGCTGACGCAGACGGACCCAACATGGTGATCAATATGATGCATATTTATTTTTCTATATACTAAGCATGTGAAGTCACTTTAAGCCTTGATCTCCTTTTATATACATTTGGGTGATGTTTAATTTTCTAAGTTGAGTCATTAAGAAGTTTAAGGAAGCTGGTGAACTTTCTAAAGAGTTATAGAAAACACTATAAGCATTTAAGTTCAATTGCTTGAAAACATGACTCAGCATAACTTGAATTTGTCAATTGGTATAAATATAGTTAAAGTTATCCTTGCTTAGAATTGTGACTTAAGATAAGGTAGAAGTTGTTTTGATGAACATTTCTTGAATCAATTCAAGTTTCTTTAACTCAAAGTATTAAGTTATAACAATGAATGATCATTAATAAAACAGCTTGTATAACTTAACTTAGTGAGTTGAGACAAAGTACATTTTGACTTTAAAGGAGACCTATCATGCAAAATGCACTTTGTGATGTCTTTTCTACATCAACGTGTGTCCCCGGTGTGTCGGGGAACTCACGCAGCGTAAAAGCGGGGCTACAACGGAGCTGATCCAGATTTGCGTCCGATATGACGTAATATCTGAAATGTGGACACACACACACAAACACACACACACACACAAACACACACACACACACACACACACACACACACACACACACACACACACACACACACACACACACACACACATACACTGTATTGTATTATTGTATGAGAGAGGTTCCAGGTTGTTGTGTTTAATATTCATTAGAATATTTGTCATTGTTCAAATGATAATAAACATTTGCATAAAGCATATAAGAGNCATGAAACACAATTAAAGGTCTCCTATCATGCAAAATGCACTTTGTGATGTCTTTTCTACATCAACATGTGTCCCCGGTGTGTCGGGGAACTCACGCAGCGTCAGAGAATAAAACCCTCTCTCTTTTCCCCCGTACCCAAATCTCTAAAAGCGGGGCTACAACGGAGCTGATCCAGATTTGCGTCCGATATGACGTAATATCTTAAATGTGGACACACACACACACACACACACACACACACACACACACACACACACACACACACACACACACACACTGTATTGTATTATTGTATGAGAGAGGTTCCAGGTTGTTGTGTTTAATATTCATTAGAAGATTTGCCATTCAAATGATAATAAACAAACATTTGCATAAAGCATATTTTTCCACTCATATGTTGATAAGAGTATTAAAAACTTGAAAAATATTCCTCTAAGGTACATTTAGAACAGATAAAAAATGTGCGATTAATTTGCGATTAACTATGTGAATCGACTGACAGCCCTAATTGTTATATATCTGAGACCTAAAAATAGCACGATAGCTGACCTTTAAGTCAACTCATGAATTTAAGGCAGCTCTTAAACTTATGTTTTTAAGTGAAAACGCCCTTTTTATTTGTACAGTGCATTGCTGCAGATTAAGATTTAAAGGAAGGAAGGCAGAGAAATCTGTGAAACGTGTAAATAAATACGAAATTCATGGAGAGTGAAGAGTCCCAAAAATGTGTGTAACATGCTGGATAAATAGTGTAAAATCAAATTAAAAATATACAGTATATAGAGCATGTGTGAAAACTTTCTGTAACAGAAAATGAATGTGAAATGCCAGGAAATAAAGGAAAAAATCAAAATAATTATGAATGAATGTGAAAGGTACATAAATATCTCAGAGCTAAAGAATAAACAGGAAAAAATACGTGGAACATTTCCTCAAAATATGTACAAATTATACATAAAATGTCCGAACATATGTGAAAATGTTCAGATAATTATCCGAAATATGTCCGAATTTATGTGAAAATTATTTGAAAATATTATGAAGACATAAAAACAATGTCTAAAATATTTTGTATATATTTATATCTTCAAAACATGTGTATAAAATAAAGATAATTATGTAAAAATGTGGCGTATTAGTACTTTTCCTTAGTGTGTCTCTTCTTCCTCTTGCTTCA